TTGAAATTCAAATTAAAAATAATATATTAAAAATGTCAGTCACAAACTAACTTGCTCGAGCTTATACAAGGAGTTGTGAATAGTTTCCTTTGAAAATATTCCAAGGTCGAGTTGGTGCACATCTTTTGATTAGCAATATATTGTATTTTACATTGACTCAGGAAAGCAATATTCAACATACTTCTTCCTTATTTTATCTTTATATTAAAGGATAATTTTATTATAATTTGTGGTTTTACGGCCACTAAGCAGTAGGTAACCTATATATGCAAAAGTTAATGAATTTGTCATTGGTACCATCAATTATATAAATATGTATGTATATAGTTCCTTTCATCGTTTAGCAATTAAGACATAGTTTAATTTAAAGATAGTTGAACTGTGACAGAATTGGCGCCTATGTGACGCCTTCAGCAATCACTACGTCATATTTTACGGCTTACGAAGCATGGCTACGAATAACACTTACGGACTGTAACTTACAGTCGACTAACGAAAGGTCTCATTTGATTTTCAAGATGATGACTTTGTAAATTGACGCAGTCAAACAGTTATCTCGCTAAACTAACTTACTTATCATTGTGTAACAAGTAAAATGATATAGGTAAGTAAAAAACATTTTTTATGTTAAACTGTTTGATGAGTTCTAATCTACCAATGATGCCCTTTCTTTTAATATTCATATCGGAGGTAGGTAGTTGTGGAAAATTTATTATATTGTATGGTCATCCAAATAAAGAGTGTAATCTACCCACCAAATATATCGCCGAGAACCTAACGGGTAACCGGGGCTCCGGCTCGATGTGCAGGAGAAGGAACAGGGTGGTTTTTAGTCAGTAAGAGTCTGACACTCCCTCCCGCCTCACCCAGGCGGGAGCAGTTATTCGATGATTTTCCCCCCTTAAAAAAAAAACCACCAAATATCAGATCGATGTGTCATCAAGAAGGGAGTCAAATTACAATTAAGTAGATATTTTACCCCAAAGAAAGCAATATAAAACCGTTTAAAAACTAGCCTCGGAGCTGTTTGTTTATCTCTAAAAGTAATGATATCTCTTGACATAGTTGAATCAAGTGTAAGGTCTTGTCTATGATTTCTATATTGTACTTTAGAATGAATAATTTTATGGGAGTCGCCGTTGAAAATTATTGACATGTAACTGGATACAGACCTATATATATCATCCAGTTCCCTTCTAGAAATCCGTGGCTGCTTATAATCTTAAACTGTCAAACACCAAGCGGTCACCGGTGACCGCAACCTATTGTTCTATAATTGTGTCTATAATGACGAGTTAATATTAATCTTAAAAAAGCTACGGGTTCGAATCCTGGCAATTATACCAAAATGTGCTTTTTCAAAGATAGAGGTAGGTACTGATAAAGTAATTTTTAATTTTTTTAGACTTTTGTATGTTTAGGCACCACGGACGTGAGATGAAGAAAATATTGTTTGGGGGGAAACCTAAACATTTATCTAACTCGGCAATCCGGAGCAAAATATATAAAACTATATCTATGGCAATCCGACTTGAACAAGCGAATTGATTACTTCTGACTCTTCGAAATGATGACAGTATGGGCGATATTTTAACAGAAATTTAATATGGATTGCAGGAACCCCTAGAAAAATGTATGCTGACATGACCCAAATGCTATTTAGCGCTTGTCTACAATTGATGTAAATAGGGTAGATGACTAATTTTTATTTTAATGTCCGTCTGGTAGATTATTTAAAAAACATTAGACACGTATTTTTTATTTTTTTACGGAAACGAATAGTTCGAAGGTATATCTATTGATTTGAAATATCACGTGACGTCACTTCTATGTACATTTTATACGTAGAAGTGACGTTTTAGCCCCCCATTCTCAAACTTTGATTCGTTATATCCAAGTATCATTTTATTATACAACAAAATAAATAAAAAATACGTTTCTAATATTTTTTCATTACCTAACTGACGGAATAATTACATTCTTTATTTTCATACCCTGTCATCATCCCTATTACTTGACTACAGGATTGACGTTTTCCCTACTTATATATTAAGTATTCTACTGTTATGGTAAGACAAACGCTTAAGTAGCACTTGGCTAGGGACCTAATTGAAGAAATATTGAACAACAAGTAAGAAGCAAGTACCTACCCTTAATCAGTGTCTTTGTACGGCCAGATATGAGGTAATAAAATAACATAATATAATGATGTAATTTTATAATGTAAGCTAAGGTAGTATACATATGTAAGGATCATACTACATGGGTGGCGATCAGTGCTTTAACAACAATAATAAAAGAGGAACTCGACTAGTTTCAAGTCATGCTAGAGGCTCATATTCATGAGCAGCATTCCGCGACCCGTGACGCGACGACTGTCGAGCTGTTAGTGGGTGCAGCACTGGGTGCTAGTAGAGTTCCTCGCCAAACAGTTACGTGGGTAAGCCCGATAACATAGTAATTAATAGTATGTCTCCCGAAAGTTTTAATATAGCAATAAAAAAAATGCACGAATTTATGTTACACTTTGTTTCTCAAAAAACTGTGTTAAATTTTTTTGGAACTTTTAGGTTTAGTACTAATTTCTTTCTCTGGCGTAGGTTTTCCCTTCTCTGAGAAAAGGTCATACATCTCGTAGCCGGTTTTAATTATTTCACTCACCGCTTGCAAGGCTTCTTCCTGTAATTCAGTATAAAATGTAAAACAAATATTAAGGTCAAAGTCAAAGTTAAAGTCAAAATCATTTATTTCAATAAGACCAAAAAGGCACTTTTGAACGTCGACAAAAAATTTTTAATGAACCTATTTGCTCATTCCAAGGTGTAGATTCCTATGGGAAAAACGAGCAAGAGTCTCCATTAAATAGATTAACCCTATCAGTTATATTACATCGCACCTTTTATTAAAACTAATAACACTTTGCCTAATCTGGAAATCAAACCCGGAATCCCCTAGCCGGCTGTCACAATTGTGACCTCTCTAACGAGACATATATTCAATTTATGAATATGTACAATACATAAAAAATATTTAGATATAGGTTAAATTTATTGTAAGTAATTAGGTGTCAAACATAATATACATAAAATAAAATAAATTAATTAAAACCGCATTGCATTGATACTTCGGACCAAAATGCATCACTCGAAATGGAGAAGAGAAGACATCTGTGTAACGACAGTCTGGTGACGGTGCACATACATCCCTGTCAGCAGCCCTTCTCTTTTTGAGGATATAGTGAGAGTCGACTGAGAGACTACCAGTAACCGTAATACGATAACATAACAATGCCATCGGCACGCTAGCTGACACCGCCAGCTAAGCTGCACAACTATTAACTGTTAAACAATTGTACAACACATCGTGGCTGTCATTAAGTTATACACGTATTATATTATACAGGTTGTCCCCGAAGTCGACGGTCAAATGGCATCAGGTGAGCGGCAAGGTTCCAACAGTTATCAGAAAAATATTAAAAAAATTCCATGTCAGATAGGGTTTAAATTATGACTTATGTGTTATCCACAAAAAGTACCTACTGTACAAGTGCATATGTCCACTTACTTGAATTCACTGTGGTAAAGTGGACACGAGGTGCATGAATAAAGAATTTTATTACAATACTTGTTTAAAATAAACTGCCTCGTTGGCCGAGTGGTCGTAAGTGCGACTGCCGAGCAAAGGGTCTCGGGTTCGATTCCCGGGTCGGACAAAGTATTACTGGGTTTTTAAATAATCTTAGTAGTACCACGGTGTCTGGAATTTATTGTGCCCGGTATATGGCAATAGGCTCACCCCCTATTACATGAGACTCATAACACAAATAGTGAAAAGTGGGTGTTACATTGTATTGCGGTATAATGTGCATCTCTGCCTACCCTTTCGGGGATAAAAGGCGTGATGTTATGTTATGTTGTTTAAAATATATCTCTGATTTAGTGGAGTCCGATTATAAACTCGTCGAGTACCGGTTTTGTAGACACAATTATAGAACAATAGGTTGCGGTCACCGGTGACCGCTTGTTGTTTGACAGTTTAAATTAGTTTGATAAAATTAGAAACAGGGTATATACTTACTATTAATTTAATTGCTTTCGGCAGTTTAGCGAAATCGATCCCTATGTTCGGCTGGGTCTGAGGGCTTGGAGCTGAGTCTGCAGCACCTGCGAAAAGGGCGACCACCGCCAACACGATAAATGCCGTCAGTCTCATTTTAGGCTTGGTTTCTGCTACTCTGGTATGTTTACGAAGCAAATTGCAAATTGGACTGTGACACAGCTCATTAGCCCCTGGTTTATATACACTTACCATATTATAATTGTTTTTATTTTAGCTTTCCCTATTTGGTGTAGGGACATATATAATTTAATTTACTGTCGCGATGAGTTATGTTTATTTGTCAGTCTCCTCCCAAGTAAAGTAATTTCATATTATATGAAATTAATTACTAATGTGTATCGAGGAGGTGAGTTTTTTTTAAACGTTGCCCCGCTCTTGTATTTTCCTCTGTGTCGTGGGTACGTTTACAAACATTCAAGTTCACATACACATGATGACATGATACCCAGACCCGGAACAACAATCTGTGGATGACACAAAGAGTTGTTCCGTGCGGGAATCGAACCCGCGACATATTGCGCAGCAGTCAATTGCTCAACCACCACGCCAACCACGCCAACCGTGCAGTCGACTATATGATATATCGACTAATATACTATATGATATAGTTACTAATATTTAATAAAATGATGTTACTAATAAGGTTTTTTAGGAAACTTTATATTTACCTACGTGAATATAAACATGACCAACTATCAATGACGCAATATTAAAAGAATACCTAGATGTTGATAGCGATGTGCCTTATTTTTCATATTGTTTGCATTCAGGCTATATCAATTTACCCATTATTTGGAAACCATGAAAAAAAAATAGAAAAAAACTACTTAGTAGGTATTATAAATGAGTGTAGTGTTTTCGGTGAAAGTTACAAGAGCAAATAGTTAAAAAAATATTTTAATAACAAATAACAACATTACAATAACAATGTCCAACTGGGTTTCGAACTCATACACTTATCATTGTAGTCGGAACGCGTTTGATAGTAGCTGCACGCGGTTTCCTCCACCATGTTTACCCTTGTTGTCCTCTGTTTTTGTATGACTTGTACAACTCGTGGCCAGTTGCTGCTCCACTCGCTACTCCAAAAATTGTTTTCTACAATTAGAATAAAAAAATTTAACAAAAATTATATAATACTTATGTACCTCACTAGCTGTTGTCCGCGATTTCGTCCGCGTAGAATACAATTCCTGTTTAATCCTATGGGAGAATTTAATCGGGATAAAAGTATTCTATCACCTAAGCCCATCGCTGCCTTAATACCATCAAAATCCGTTCAGTAGTTTTAGTGTGATTGACGGACAAAGATTCTAACAAAGAAACTTTCACATTTATAAATTAAGTGTGACGAATAAATAATTAAAAAATAAATAAAAAGAACGTCTGAGATAAATACTTACAACCACCTTCCCTACTTTCTTCAGTCCTTGGAAGTTGACCTTAGGATCTGGGTTTGGAGCCGAACACACACCACCCGCGAAAAGCGCGAGCACCGCCATCAGCATCACGAACAGCGCCGTCAGTTTCATTGTATGGTCCTGATTACTGTTATAATTTTAATTGCAATATTTTCTGCTACCCTGGTAGCTCTTTGAAACAGATCTCAAAGTTGACTGTGACAACACTTGGCAGAACATGAGCTTATAAACATAAGAAAGTTCCCTGTTTAGAGTAACATACTGACGCACTGGAATTTAGTCTAATTCAGTAAATACCATGTCCATGTAGGTTGGTTAAGGAAACAGTTAAATTCTTGTGACGTTGCATTTTCCCATTGTCATTGGGCCTATTAAACATGTGCCCACTAATTGCTATTCGATCAGACCCTGTAAATCCCTGTTCATTAATTAATTTAAAACCATGAGCAATTAGTTCCGACTGACGTATCTACGTATAAACGTTTTGAACCAAACCACATTTGAGAGATAAACACTATTACACTGTGACACTAGGTATTTGGTTGTGTGTTGCGTAAACAGCGTACGGATTACAAATTCAAGTTTGTGATTTAATCTACGCATTTATAGATCTTTTCAATCGTCACATATATAAAAAAAACACATTTCTTTAATCGTGATGCTGATAAGAATTTGTATTAGGTAAATTGTTTTTTGAACTGTCCACTAAAATAAATTTGCTATCAAGCAGTATCTATCTTTCAAACACAATCACGTTTTAACAGCCAAAATACCGTGAATACTTAAACAATTATCATTTTCTTCTTCCTTTTTCTTTGAAAAATCGTTATCCCACACTAGGATTTTCTGTTATGTCGTGGGTGCGTTTACAAAAATACAAGTTCACATACAAATGACACCCAGACCCGAAACAACAATCTGTGGATCACACAAAGAGTTGTTCCATGCGGGAATCGAAACCGCGACACGTTGCGCGGCAGCCAGTTGCCCAGCCACCTTGCTAACCGTGCAGTCAAATCAATCGTCATGAAAGCTTATTAATGATGGATAATATACATCGATGTAACGTGCTTATTACTATTAACGCACCGATTTAGTTAAATCTTCTGCTCATGTGTTATAGGAGATGATCCCATTCAACCACTTTTTGGCTATAAAAGGCCGCCTAAGTCATCTTAATAAGTACCTAACAATGAAATCAATTCTGTAGTTTTACGCGTAAAAGCATACAGACATACAGAGTAGTAATTTAGCATCGCATTTATAATTTTAGTATTGTTTGTGTCATGGATGAGGATAATGAAACTGCATACAAATGTGTAACATTCAGCACGAAGAGAAAGCCACTAGATAAATATTAAAGATTGATTTTTCATAATCTATAATTTAGTGTGAGTTTATTGAAGTTTGCTGTTTTCATGAATTCTTAACGCGCATTTAGGAAGATGTGAGATTTTCATAATGTGAAAACTAGAGAAATATAATATGTGCACATAAACGTTGAATGTGTAATTCGTAAATCTGATCTGATCTGAACAAGAAGTATTCTGTTAAACGTCTACTTATCGCAAATTGAGAGCCATTTAGGGCGTGATCTTGAAATTGAACCTGTTTGTTGCTCACTTGCTTACGACTACTTACCAATTAGCCAGGCAAAAGTCGTAGCTGATTTTTAAGACGTTTTTATTTAACTTATCATAATAGGTCTTTTAATGGATTACATTACGCAGCATAAAAATGAAATTTAGGCGTAGGCGCATCAGGGAATAAATAGCATGTTGCTGTGCAAAGCGTTGACACTGACAGTGGGACTGGTCGAGTTATTTAAAGTTATCCTGGGAAGTATGGAGAAATTCCTATACGATGTGATTGGTTTCGATAATGAACCAAAGGACAGCCCAAAGAATTATAGAGCATTCGTGGTTGTTTTAGGCGAATATAATTAATACTTTTGGGCTTACAGTTACATAAAAAACAACGTGCTACCCGCAGGATTCCTACATTTGCACTATTTTTTTTAAGTTCTTTCGTAAATTGACTATACACTTATCTGTCGAATGTGGAATGAGCGTGCATTAACGGAGTTGAAGAAGCCTTAATTGTTCAGAAGTGAATGGAAACACGCTAATAATCATAAAAATGATGATGATTAGAACTCTCTGTATGTATGACCACTAGTCAAGTTCCCCATAAAAATTCATCAATAAACAATGTATGCAGGGCGATTTATGATGATCTCTATCTACAAGGCCTTTTTTATTAAGTAATTAATTCCAATATTGTAATTTTTTGGCTTCTGGAAATGAGCAGAGTATAGCAATGGGCTTTCCATTATCGCCCATTACATTACCTAACTAGAGAAGGGGTACTCAGCACTACAAGTGAATACAAGGTCTATTTCGATTGAAAATAGAATTGATGTTACAATAAATTAAATATCGAATAATTAAAATAATAATTTATTAACAAAATAACAACAGCACAATAACAATGGTCGACTGGGTTTTGAACTCATATTATTGTAATCGAAGCGAAGAAGTGGGTAGCAGCTTCATGAAGATTTCTCCACCATCATTACCCCTGTTGTCCTCTGTTTTTGGCTGACTGGTACAACTCGTGGGCAGTTGCTGCTCCACTCGCTACTCCAAAAACTTTTTTCTGCAATTAGAATTACAAAAAATATAACAAATGTTCAATAATCCTTAAATTAGTAGGTACTTAACGAATAAATTAATAATAAATCAATAACATTTGAGATACTTACAACCACCTTTCCTACTTTCTTCAGTCCTTGGAGGTTCACCTTAGGATCTGGGTTTGGAGCCGAACACACACCACCCGCGAAAAGTGCGAGCACCGCCATCAGCATCACGAACAGTGCCGTCAGTTTCATTGTATAGTCCTGATTACTGTTGTAATTTTACTTGTACCTAATGGTTTCTGCTACCCTGGTAGCTCTTTGAAACAGATCTCAAAGTTGACTGTGACAATGCTTGGCAGACCACGGGTTTATAAACATAAGAACCGAATCTTAAGTTTCCTTGTTCAATAACCTACTGACGCATTGGAATTCTATCCAATACATAACATATCTATGTAAAGGAGGTAAGTTTAAGAATATTGTTGCAATCATGACGTTGCAATTTCCCATTGTCAGTAGGCCTTTGAAACAAGCACCAGCTACTAATTAATTGGTTTTAAATCAGAAAACCCTACTTGTTAATTAAATTAAAACTATGAGTAATTCCAACCGACGCACGCACGTTATAAGCACATTGCCCCTATACCACACTTAAGAGATGAACATTTTAATTCACCACAAAGGGAACGCCACTATATTTATTTATATAAGACTTATTACAATAACAAATGTACAGTAGAACTTAATGCCTTGGGCATTGTCTCACAGTCGGCATTAAGGTGGTACAAAGATGAAAGTGGCAGGTGACTAAACAAATATTGATAATAAATAACTATATATAAATACTTACTTAGATAATTATATATACAGGCATACATAATATATATGAACACATACATCCAATACCTATATCATATATTAGTACTATACACATAAATATACCCAAGTAAAAACTAAAAAAATAATAAGGGAGACCTTAATATGTTTGAATCGAATCTGTCAGTTTTTTTTGTAAATGCTCGCGAACCTTGGTTTTGAAAGATAAGCGACTGGTGGTTATCCTGATCTCCGAGGGTGGCGCATTCCATAGAATCCCAGATTGTATGAAATATGAAGAATGAAGAAAATCAGAGCGATGACTAAGACATTGAAGATGACGATTGTTGGAAGATCGAAGATATTTATTGTGGTTTGCACTGGTTTGCATAGATAAAGATTGATCTTTGATAATATTGATAATATACTGTGAGTTTATTGAAGTTAACTATTTTATGAATTCTTAACGCGCGTTTACGAAGATGTGAAATTTTTATAATGTTATACACTGAAATATGAAAATGGTACAAAAATATGTGCACATTAACGTAGTATGTTTGATTCGTAAATCTGATACTTATCTGATCTGAACAAGAAGCATTCTATTGAATGTCTTCTTATCGCAGATTGTATTATGATAGCCATCTAGGGTGTGATCTTGAAATTGAACCTGTTTCTTGCTTACTTGCTTACGACTACTTACCAATTAGCCAGGCAAAAGTCATAGCAGATTTTGAGGACGTTTTTATTTAACTTATCATAATAGGTCTTGTGTCGTGGTGGCCCGAAGGTTGGTTGTTCCATATTCTGACAGTTTGAGTATTTGTGCGACCCACGCAAATGTTCTTTAGGTTGGTATTGTTCGTCGAATCAGTCAGCCTCACCTGTTAATTGAGCCGACTGTAAACCGACACATGCGTACTGCCTTCAGAACGGGTCCGCTCAAACTGTTGTGGTTCTTTCCTCAAAAGGCCACTACAGAAAGAACTTGCACGGTTCTCACACATAATCTTTTATACATATTGTCTGGACTTTAAAAGAGACAGACCTCTGAGTTTGTTTCGGCATTTCTTCTCAGAGTAGTCAGTTAGGAAATGTCGACCTCATCGTTCGCTTGATAAAATTGACGTGTAAAAGTGCTGCTTTGTAGCCTATTTGCAGAAATAAATTCACTTGTTTCACTTGTTGAAAACGCCTCCTTCTCATGCACGAGGGTGCGGGTTCGAAACCCAACAACGGCAAGTACCAATGTGACTTTTTCCGAGATACCTATATGTACTTTCTAAGATATTTAGACACCACTGACCAACGGTGACGAAAAACATTGTGAGGAAACCTGGGCTTATAATTTCTAATTATAAGTTTGAAACCGCCAACCCGCATTGAGCAAGCGTGGTGATTAATACTGTAACCTTCTCCATGTGGGAAGAGGCTTTGCTCACAAGTGGGCACTTATAAGCTGTTGATGATGAATAGGTCTTTTTATGGATTATATTACGCAGCATAAAAATGAAATTTGGGCGTTACATTTACTTATGCACATCTCTACTTACTCCTTCAGGGAATAAATAGCATGTTGCTGTGCAAAGCGTTGAAACTGACAGTGGGACTGGTCAAGTTATTAAAAGTTACCCAGGGAAGTATGGAGAAATTCCAATACGATGTGATTGGTTTCGATAATGAACCAAAGGACATAGCCGAAAGAATTATAGAGCAT